ATTATTATTACACATACCCCCCTTCCCCTTTCAGGGCCAACACTACTAGATTGGTTTCCTTAGAATGGGAGCGCAGAAACATGTCATTTGTGTAATATGTGCTTTATTTACTAATTTACAGATATGACACCAGTTAGGGTTGCAGGTTTTACCTGGCTGGCGACGAGGGGATCCAGGCTCTGCTCTAGAATCTTCTGGCATCTGCGCTTTGCCCAGAGGTGACATCATTGCATCGGGGATGTCAGGGGGTGATGCTCTAGTTTTTGGGCAAAACTGTATGCTTTTTTGCCTGGCGACATCCCTGTTTGGGGGTGGGGCTTTCCCTCCTGACCAATTGGCCGGCAATGGATCAGAGCCCCCTAAAGCAGGGGATCTCCTGCTAGGAACTGGGGGCTGGCAACCCTAGCACCAGTGGAAATAAAGAGGCACTCCTATAAGGGCAACATACACACTACCCCATATCAGAAGCAGAGAGAAAGCAGCACTGCACTCCAAGACGTTTTGCTTTCCAAACAAGCCAAAGCTATCTCTCTTCCAAAATGGCTGTCTGTTAGTACACACGTATACTTGCCTTCCCCAACTGGAAGCAGACACCTTATCCAAGCACTCATTCAAGAACAGAGCTATCAGAAGACCATCTCCTAATAATTGATGCCCACTGAGGAAACATTCACAGGCATTAAAGAACATTAAGATTCTTCTGGCAACTATTCTCATTAGGTGCTACTTAGATCCATTAATAATAATCACATAGAAATGATAGAGAGCAGCAGATCCAAAACAAAAATAGATCAGATGATGCCAAACCTTCCAGTTCTTATTTTTAAGGTGGCATGATTTTATCAACCTGCAGGGCCACGTGACATGCCAGAGGCTTCTGCACATCTGTAGGGTAGCACAGCAGAAGGATCTTTTAGAATCCATCCATCTTTATAAGTCTTGATGGCAGTAAAAAGGCAGAAGCAAGATTACCAACTGGCCAGGAAGAAAATGTCCTGTCCCGTTAACAAAAGTCTAATTAGTAGAAATGGGCAATTGGATTTTTTCATGGTGTGGAGCTAAATAACATCACTTGATAACTGCTTGCAAAGCAAAGTGATATTAAATGGACACCGAGATGGACTAATTTAAAAGCTGGCAAACACAGGTGGAGTCTATGACTTGCCATTAACTTTGGTTGTGACAACCCTTTTATAGGTTAAGCAACACCCCAACAATGCCATATCAATGTACTGAAACTGAGATTAAATGCAATGTAACCTATACTGGGTGTAACTCAAAGTTAAAAACAACAAAATGGCATATGTACATTAAATGCCACATCAGCAACAAACTTCTTGCTGCAGGTCATTTCATTCTGCCATTTTTATCTCTCACAGCTGGATATGCTGGGGAAAAACCTGGTCCAATGCCACCTTGCAAAGGCAATCAAAATTGGATACATGCTTCCAGCAGACAACTCCCCCCCCCTTTATGAAATAATCAGGTTTGTTGCGGCCAAATATTTTCTGCCTAGTCAAAGACATCATGCTGATCTCTTTCCAACCAAATCCCCTTGTTAATAGCTCTCTGCAAAAAGGAGATCTTGAGGAAAAATTGCTTGGACAGTTGAGAATCAAGGATGCCCAAACAGCTACTGTGTTTTCCCAAGAAGCAAGCTGCAAATTTTGCATCTATGGAAAAGTTATGCCTTATGTAGCCCCCTCCTTTACATTAAATTAAAGTGTATAAGGACCCCAAAATTCCTACCGCTGCTACATATAGCTAGTTACTAATCATCTTTACGTTTTCAAAGGGAGACGCTCAATATATTTAAATTTTTCTACCCCAGTTTCCTTTGCAGTGGGGCCCCAAAGAGGCTTTCAGCATTATTCTTCCCGTCTTCTGTTTTATCATCACAACAATCCTGTGAGTCAGATTAGGCTGAGAGAAAGTGACTGGCCCAATGACACCCAGTGAGCTTCCATGGCAGAGTGGGGATTTGAATCCAGGTCTCCCAGATCCTAGTAGCTACTACATTACACTGGCATTACATAAACCTAGAAAGCTGCTTTATACTATCAAGCCATACTCCACTGACAGGCAGATGCTCTATGTCCTAGCCACCCTTCCTCAATAGGTAGGACAAACATTGGCCCAACCCTGGATATGTCCCTACTTCAGACAGGGGTCTTTTAGAGCCCTACTCTGCTTCTAACTAGAGGTTGTCAGGACTGAACCCAGGAATTGATGCATGAAAAAGCATATGATGTAAACTATGCTGCTGTGACACAGCTGCTCAAGGAACAAAACTTCAGTGAGTTATGGACCCAGAGGGGTGGTTTCATTATGTTCCCCAGCATCATCTTATTTATTTATCAAATTTATATCCTGCCCTCCCAGCCGAGGCCTACTCAGGGCGGCTCTCCCCACATGTCTAGTGCCAACACACCAAGACAGAGGCTAAATCTGGTGGAATGTGGTATAAATTCTTACCTTTCAGAGACCTTTGTATAGGTAACCAGAAAAAGACTAACACTTTTCACATTACGTCTATAAAACTTCATTAATAAGTCCCTCTCATCACCTGAATCCTCTTTTCAAATCCAGTTTTTCTTTGACCTCCTGAAGGACTGAATCCAGGACTGCCCATTCATCACAGAGAAGTCTGTCAAGTTGCACTTGATACAACTCTAAGGCAGTCTGGATTCTAAGGGCAGGCTAACTCATCACTTGTCTGCTAGTATTGCTAACTTACACATATGAACAGCCCATCATAGATTCAGCCAGGGCTCTTTTTGTAGAAAAAGCCCAGCAGGAACTCATTAGCACCCCTGATGACACAGCTCATTAGCATATTAGGCCGCACCCCCATGTTACCAGAAGTGTAGTCATCCAGGCACACCCACCTTTTGCTTCTTATTCTGTTTACCCTGTTTGTTGTCAAAACCCAGGGGGTTTTTTTGTAGCAGGAACTCCTTTGCATGTTAGGCCACACACCCCTAACGTAGCCAATCCTAATGAGTTTCTGCTGTTGGGTGTGGCCCATTATGCTAATGAGTTCCTGCTGGGCGTGGCCAACTCAGGAGCCAGCTGGAACTCCGTTCCTGTGCGTTCCTGCCCAAAAATAGCCCTGGATTCAGCATCACAAGCAAACTTTTGTATCCCTCCTGTGTTGGCTCAGAGACATCTTTTAATGGACATCATTCACACATTTGTTTGTGAACCAGCCTTACACTGTCTAGTCTTTCAGCCATGCTTGGGGGTGGGGGGAAAAACTGTGTTCCTTTGTTCTTGATCTCCCAACTTGAAACAGCAGCACTGAAAGGTATATGTGCAACCTCTTCCCTGCGGAGGGCCTCAGCAACAAAATGTCACTCTCTGAGTTTATACAAAGTCCTCCCCCTGCTGCTTGCCTCGCAGGAAGTCCATGTACAAGACAATTTCAATACATCCCAGCTAGAATCATCAGTGGAAGCCAGAAGCCCTGACATTAGCAGTCTTGTACTTCAAAAGAATGCTTGTGTTTGATGACAGCAACAAGGCTCCTTATTACAGCTGTCTAATCAAATGGCTATTGTGCAATTATATTAAAAGATCAAACAGCGCTTCCAGTACATGCAAAAAACAGGGTAGCAATAAAGGGTCCATATTTCACCTACAGTATAATAATACATCTTCATTTATGACCCCACAACTAAGACAGTATTAGTAAACATCAATGCACGACCTCTGACTAACCAACAGATAGCTTATATACAAAACTAAAAAAAATCAACATTTTTTAGGAATGGGAGAAAATACCCTGAAGATGCTATCCCCCCCCCTTCTTTGGCAGTGCTCTATCCAAAATTGAGGTGTGAAGACCATAGTATTCAGAAGTCAACCACCACTGAGATGACTGGAATGTTTGCCCAATAGAGCCAGTTAATCACTAAACTTCCAGTCATTCCAATGTTATATAACACAGAACTAGGATACCATTTACTGTGTGTTATTCTGAAAAATCTAGCACACATAGAAAGTCTGTACTGTCAGTCACAAAAATAGATCAAACTATTAGTTTTACCTATCGGTATGCTTCTGAAAGGCTGGGTGAAAACCATACTTCAACCAATATAACCTGATGGTTAAGAGATTTAAAGGATAATTCATCTGTGTCCAGAAATCTTGATTATGAGCTCTTGAGCATGAGCATAGGTTGGTCAGCTTGCATAAATTCAGAGGCAACCCTAGTAAGAGGCACCTGCCCCAGGTGGAAGATTTGAGGCAACAAACCACCATGAAGTTCTCCAGCATGAGCTCTACTGAAATGAGCTGCACAGTGAATGGGGTACACAGTTTAGATATTCCTCAAGTATCAAACTTGTTTTGGCTACCCTTGCTCTTGTTTATTATTTCAAGCTCCAATCACAGTAAAAACACACCATGGCCAAAAACTCCTCCAAAAGCAAAAATAAAATGAGCCCACTGGGTATTTTAGAAAACAAAACATACTTTTTCCCTCCCACCAAACCAAACACTATTCCTAACATTGTTGCTCATGGTCTTGTGCATTCTCTTTTTCTCCATTGTTCAACTGCTTTCAAGTTGAATCCATAGCTAATCCATAGACAGCCCACCTTCCCCCTTCTCCTTCCTACAGTTACACTGCTCCCCTAAAAAAAACAACACCTGATCTTTTTTCATATAGCCCAGCCCAACCCAATCATTTTCTAAAATACTTCCAGCCTTAAAAATCATCCCATAGTTTTCAGAAGACATCTTTGCAAAGCCTTTGCAAAGCTCCATTGACAGTTCATAAAAGTGTACCCAAACTCTTGAAAAACAAAGGATGCCATATTCACTATAACAGCAGCTCTTATTTAAAAGTAAGTAGAGGTCTTTAAATATGGATTTGCTATAAACCTTAACAGCAGCTTGCTCCCCTCCTTCACCTCTCCAACAATAAGCATCAAAGCAACAGATCTCACCAAATGAGTAAGAGCAACAGAGAGAAAAAAGTAAAGGAAATCACTTACCCAGTGAGGACGACTACAAAATCCATCACATTCCAGCCATTTCGAAGATAAGAGCCTTTGTGAAAAACAAACCCCAGTGCGATGATTTTTATGCCAGCTTCAAAGCAAAATATTCCAATAAAGTACGGCTCGGTATCATCCTAAAAGAAGGGGAGAGAGGGTGGAATCAAAGATGTCAGACAGAGAACTATACTTCCATATGTGCTAGTATTCAATATACATTTTTGGAGGACAGTGTGCTGGCAAAAAGCTTAAAGGACAAATCAGGAAACATCTAGTTCACCACAAACTCACTCGACAGGCAAGCCACATTCTCTAGCCAAACCCCATATCTGCAAATACGGGGATAACAATAGTTGTCTGCCTTCCAGGGTTATTGTAAGACATACAAACTCCATACATACAAACTGTGCTGGTCCATGGGGGGGGGGGAATCCAAACACAACAGAAGTATAATATTTTTATTACAATCAACAACAAAAATCTCAAAATTCTGAGAGCAAGCTTTCAAGTTCCACAGAACTCTCCATCAAGTTGGATGTTAAGTACAAAAAGAGTTACTAGGCATAAAACAGGAGTAAAAGATGACCCAGCTACATTCATGGATGATATTTATCATATTTTTATCTTCCTCCAAGCAGCACAGGCTAATATATGTATTGTTTTCTCTCCATTTTATTTACACTACAACCCTGTGAAGTTGGTTAGGTAATGACTGCAATCAAGGCCACCCAGAAAGCCTCATGGCTCAGCAAGGATTTGAATCTGGGTCTCCCTAGCCCTAGTCCAACACCCTAACTCAGGGGTGGCGAACAAGTTCGACAAAAAGAGCCAAAATTTTAAACTGTGAGAGTCAGAGAGCCACACCACGCAGTGACCTGCCAAAACAGACAAACACTCACACAAAAGCATATACTTTTAACAATGATGCCCCGAGGAACTCCCCACACCCTGACCTACCGGCCAGCGCCGAAGACCGGGAGAGGGAGGCAGCGCCCCAACGCCGAACCTCCCCAGAAGACGCCCGGCTGCACGAGACGACTGCAGGACGCGCTCGGGCGCGGGGGCGAGAGCCCCGGCCCGAGACGCGTGACAGAAGCTGCGACAGGGGAGCAGGGCCGGCGGCGCG